AGGGGCGAAACGTTTCTTTTTAACAAAAAAACGAAGTCCAGATGACATGATTCAACCTTTTTTGTTGTTATATACCTGGATGACTGAGAAAACAAACTTTGTGTTTTTGAAACCATTAGTGAAAAGGCCAGCCTTCAGGGGTATCTGAGGCAGGCTTGAAACACAAGAGTCAGGGTGGCTTCTGGGTAATACCAGATGGCTAGGCCTCAGACTGACGAAGCCTCTTGGATGAGGGGCGAAGCGTTTCTTTTTAACAAAAAAACGAAGTCCAGATGACATGATTCAACCTTTTTTGTCATGGAGAATATTGTTTTTCCACACAAGGCAGCTGACAGCTCCATATAAGGTAAGCAGACTAAACAACGCCCTGTTTAGTCCGCTTTAATTGAACTCTAACTCGTTTTCCTAGAATGTTCGGTTCGTTTAGGGAGGTGTGAACGAACCATCGAACTCTGTCACGGAACAAAAAGGCGAACTCTGGCCCGGTCTGAAACCTAGGTCTCGGTCCGGTAGAAGAGAACTCCAATGCGGTTCGAGTACAGTGTGAATGTAAACAGACCGGACCCGCTCCACAGGACAAACAAACACGCATTTCTCTGACCTTATATGTCTCTGTCTCATCTTCTGCTCATGCTAATTCCATTTTTGAAAAATGACAGAATAAAACTGCTAAAACTTGATGCCACTTCGTTTTTGTTTTTATTTCCAGAAGAAGAAGAAGACATGTCTTCAGAGGTTTTTGTGTCATTTCTTTCAGTAGTTCTTGGTGCAGCGCCCCCACAGGCGAGCGGGGGAACAGGTTGGTTCAACAGGTTGACTCGACTGCACAGTGCAGCGTGAATGCAAACGCACCAGCTCAAATGTAAACAAATGTCATGAACATTGGTCCCCAACCGAACCGAGTCTACCGGACTATCTGGTGTGAAAACGACCTAAAAGTGTGTTTGAGGTGCAGCTTGTTAAGGAACATTTATTCAAATAGTAGTGTGGTCGCATGCATAATTTTGAACTTGTGTGCATTTGATTAATTCCATAATTAAATTTCAACTTGTGCATCCAGTTCTTGTAAAAAAAAAAAACACTGAAGTTGTACGTTGTATCATCATTTCACTTGGAAAAAGATTGGTTCAAATAAATCAACAAAGCTCCATATTTTTACAACATTCATGCCTGCGATGAGTGGATGTAAACTTCTGAATGTGCTCATTTTCTGGAAGTGGACGGATATAAATCTTAAATATACACCATATTAAAAAAATACAACACGGCTGCTTTAACGAGTCTAAAACCTTGATATTCAGCTGTCATTAGAGCCAAGTT